GATTCTTCTATGCGTTTTGTATATTTGTTTTATACTGTTCCTGAACATCTTTCAAAGGGAAAAGAAAAAACTTTAATTTTCTTACACGCAAATAAAAGTAACACCTCTGAACTCACCGATTCGAGACGAAGGATGGCAAAGCCTACCACTAGCCAGCTGGACCAACGTGACAATGATAAGTCACACGCAGCCTCACTGGACTCCAACCAGCGCTTATCTCGTGAGATAACTCAACTACACATTCAAATGACCTTAGTATCTTTTTGTTTTGATGCGACTACTACTGATTACTCCGGTGTCAGTCTGGATGTCATTAGAAAGTAAACAAGAATATATACACACCCTGTTACTTACATTAGTATTCCTTCAAACGGAAACTGAAACCTATCCAACGAGGTTACAAGTAAAAAACGTGTCTAAAATAAAAATTACACAGAACAGAAACCTCTTTTTATCCCAGGCCTGTGGAGTCGGTACTAAAATCTCAGACTCCGGCTTCGACACCGACTCCTTCATAAAAGCTCAATATGTATTAATATAGGTAAACCTACTAAAATGGTAAATGGCAAAATAAGAGATTTCATCACCACCACGTGAATCATCAGCCTACTTTTTAGACTTATAACCTATATTTAAATATACGTCTAATGGTTACTGCAGAAATCGGTTGATTTGTAGACAGTTTGTATTCTTAAGGTACCGGAGCCAAAGTTACATGTGGCTCAACGCGTAAGAGTGGGGCCGCCGGCGGCTCAAAAAGTATAGAAATTGTTCTTAGGATTTTATATCGAGGTCGGAGTCGGTACATTTTTACAGACTCCAACTTCACCTAAAATTGCTTCCGACTCCACAGCCCTGCTTTACCGGAACATAACATCCGGTCTCCAGGATATAGTAGAGAGTAGAGAGAGAGTAGAGAGTAGAGAGAGAGAGAGAGAGAGAGAGAGAGAGAGAGAGAGAGGCGTGACATCTTACACATCACTGATATTTAAAAAGTACCCTATCATTTTCGATTCGACTCTATTTAAGTGGGTAGTTGATCAAGCTCCGGTACTAACCCAGTAATTTTCCTACAGAAAACATGAAAAATGTCAGTCATAACAGTCCGTGTCTAAACCGGGAATCGAACCCAGGATTTCTCGAATATAAGCAGGAGATATTTACTGTTGCATTGAGCAGTAATGATCGTTATAAATATTCCTGTGTAGAAAAACGCAACCTATGAGAACTTAGTAAGTTTTTGGTTCGCCTCAGCAGTAGAAACTTTTCTGAGTGGAATAAGCTTACGGAAAAATACTTTTAATGACGTCAAATTTGTTATCTTGAGTTTAAGTCCAAGAATTTGTTGGTCAGGGGTTAGATTGTTAAGACACTTGATGACACGTAATCTTTGACCCACAAATCCGTACGAGTCCCTTAAGAATTATCAGAGAACATGTCAGAGAAGTTCAGGAACACGTCAGTTTCTTAACTTTGTCCATAAAATCAAATGTTAGAATGTCGGTCTTTTTATAACAGTTCTATGTTAATAATTCTTTCTTCTACACTGGCAACATGAGAAACAACATATTTTCCTGACAGAAATTGTATCAGGCCTACGTATCCCTCGATCAATTTAATCACTGATCTGTGCTGATTATTATCCCTCAATAACACACGCATAAACTGCACATAACCGAGCAACTTGTGTGGCTGAACAGTTGGAGCCAATGTTACCAATGTCTTCTGGAAAACTCCCACAGGAAACCAAATTTACAAAATCACTTCAGTGAAGGAAAACTTCAGACAAAAAGTACAGACTTCTTGAAACAATGTGGACACAAAATTATAACAGCCCTATTCAAATCACTCATGTTCACAGCGATGATGAGCCAACGCGTATTACTCGTGCCGACTATAATTCGGTGGTCACGGCCTATTTCAAAGTAGACAGCATCTCACAAGCTACTTTGTGTCAAAAGTAACTGACGTCAACCAATTTGCTGAAAATGCCTGTACCTGACGCGTATTATATTGAACTTCTTGCGTCTTCCGAATACTGCCAAGGTGTGGAGCGAGGTTGCATACCACGAAGCGGGCTACGTGATCTATCAAGCAAATGACAGCATGATGTGATCGGTGCGTGAAAACCTGAGCTCAGACACATTCGCTTATCATTATGCCAATACGTCATCAAGGCAAGCAACTTCAATGACACATATTCGCCTAATTTATACAAAAACTTTGAAGGTCGTACATACTACTAAGACACTCTAAGACCAGCTTAACTGAACTGCTTGGCATAATGAGAGTTTATTCTGTTAAGTTATGACATACTGAAGTGTAGGGTATGCTGTCCTCTAGAAAAAGCTGCTGAGTTACAAAATTTATTCGCTATAAGAAGAAAACAAATCCTTTGCTAGTTTTCTTATCTCACCATGGCACAGATGCTTATTTATTGCAAAACAGACCACAGAAATCTATAGCCTTCATTACTAATGTCACTGCATAGTCAACATTATTTTTGCGAGCATTTCGTTAAGACTCGTAGTCACAACATCGTAAAATGTTTTAAATAAAATACGTACTTGAATGACATTTTATCCTATCTTGTATCGATGTTTCTTACCAAGAGTTTACTAGTCTGGAAAATATGAACAGAAAGAGACTAAATCCCACGATTCTGTTTCACATATAACAGATCGGCCTAAGGAGTAACATAATTTTATAAAATAAAACATTGTAACATTCACCCTAGAAGCATTTATATAAAAGTGGTAAGTGCAGATTCTAAGGTCACTGACATTGATAACAGAAAAGGAAAGGTGAAACCTTTTTAGAGGCTGCAATGCTGCTGAAGACTAATCTTAATATAGTATCGCATCTTAAAGGTGGTTCACGGTCATGTTATTTTTATATATTTCTTTAGCATCCTCTCCACATCTTTTATACATACACGTAAAGGTTATAAACATGGCGTCTTAGCCTTACAGTTCAGTCTAAAGTCTTCGATGGATTCTTAAATTATTTCAGTATATTACTACAATAATTTTCCTTCTTGTGTAACATTCCACTATTTTATGATATCCTATTTATGTTGTTGCAGTTTATTTCTATTTGTCTATTTACTAGTTTCTAACTGTACATTCAACTTGCCTGGTCATTCGCGACTATGCACGAAAACACGCAATCAAACGCAAAACAGGGAATTGCATTAAAGATAAAGTAACCTAAGCAAAGATTCTGCAGAATAAGTGGTACAGAGACTCAACTCGATATACAGAATCACCCGTAAAAGCAGGCTGCACGACGGAACGGTAATAACAAATCTAGCGTCCCTATAATACGTCAACAAACAGTTAATTCTCCTTACTGTCTCAATTTTGCTACGACCCAGAAGTATTATTTTATACCATTTATAAATAATCTAAGAGATTCCATGTCAGAAATATCGAAAGTTATCACAATGGACCTGCAAAATGTATCTTCAAAACAGAATAGGCCTATTGCGGTTATAAGAAATAATAAACACTTTCAAAAACGTAACAAAGCGGGTCCGAGAATGCAGATTAAGTATTAGAGACCTAGAGCAAAGCGTCGAGTATAAACAAGAAGGCCCAAACTGAACGGAAGGGCGCGGTTAGAAACTTATCCAAGAATAATGTTTCCTTTCGTGACAGTAATTCAAAGAAAACTGTGGTGTAGCTACTAATCTAAATTGGAGGAAATTGGTTATGTCATGAAGATAAACTGAACAAGAACAATTCAAAGAAGCAGTCGTCGGTCGCCTGTAGCAATTAACTCTTCGCACTTCGAATTTGCGTACAACTTCAAGCCCTCCCGCGCCCAAAAGTCGGTGAAATAGACTACGACATACACAACAGCCACTTGCCCGTGTTTACTATTCCAGCAAAATCATGGTTCACTAACCACCTGTTCAAAATTTGGAAACGGGCTGTTGATATTTGAAATTTTGGACTTTCAGTGAGCAAACTGAAACCAACACGAATGTTCTTCCAAATAATCTTTCACTTAACACTGATAACGTTGAGTTACGTCAGCAAGTTACACAGCATGCATATCGCGATAAATATTTACGAACATATTTGAAAAGTCCTTTACATAACCCTAACTAGAGCTGAGGTCTGGTATGTGGGAAACGTGATGTGTCACGCTTCAAACAATGCATTAAAATACTGATTATCGAAAACAATATGGAAGTATATTCATAAGATTTCAAGCAGTTATGTGATTTATGTGATAATATGTACCCTCAACAACAAAATATATATACAGAAACATGTGTTGCACAAAAGATAAAATTGTAAGAAGACATTTTGGAGGACTGTATACTGGTTATCAATCATGGAAACTGGGCGATCTTAAAACCAAACCACCAGAAAGTTAAATTTTAAAATTATCTGAAATTATTTATTCAACAATTGCGTAAGCAATACGTACTGGTTGCATGATGACATGCATATATCTTATAATGAAATAACTTGAAACGTTATTTACCTGCAAAACTGGCGGAAATTCATCGGTATATTCACAAAATGCAATTATTATTATTATTTTCATCATCAGCATAGTCCCGGGATCGAATCCTGGAAACACGTAGGCTATTCTACAGAGTGGGTGGGAAGTAAGTAGGCATTAAATAATCGCTATACATTGGAAATATAGAGGTTATAACCATGCCTCAATGCCTACTTACTTCCCACCCACGCTGTAATCTTTACAGCGAGTTAAAACAAAATTACGCAGGAAAAAAGAACAGTGAGATCCCTCTAATTAATAATAAAAAAAAATACTATCAAAGCATTTCAAAATTACAATAAAATATCCCTTGAAATCGAAGGGGGCGGGTCAACCTGAAAATTAACCTTATTTCCATTTTATTTTCTATCTCCGTTAATATATGACGGATTTTAAAAAATTAAACTGGCATTTACAAAGAAATTATCATAATACCATACAGTTTTCAAACAGAATAAGAATAGTCAAAATAGTACACTTACCACACTAATATTCTCTTGTAACACTTCTAGCAGGTGATCTTGCCTTACATCAAGGGCAAAGAGGACGAACCACAAACTACTGTTGCGGACTCTAGTGGAATAGCATCAAACCACTAACGGAATGGTGGGATATGATTTCGTTAGTGTTTTGTTCGGTCAGCTGTTTTTTTAATAAATTTATGGTAGTATCCATTTCATTACATGTAGATTGTTAATTTTACAACTCGATTATTTCAGTAAACATAATAAATGAATAATTTTTAAAGACATATTCTAAAGTACTGTGTTTCGATGTGTGTACATTGAGGTTATGTGAATAACCTCTACCGTTTAGTTGACAGCGTTTGTAAACAGTCTTTATTTAAACATTTTCATACCTTATTTGAATTTTAATCAATTAATTAGGGTTTCAATTGTCGGTCAGAAAATCTAACCAATTTTCGCATCCTTGTCATTTCATTTGGTCATATCATATGTCTTTTCATGCTATAGCATGAAAAATGAAGTTAACTGTTCATTCAGTTCTTCAGCCGTACTGCCTTTCAGCAGTGCTATTCCTCGTGTTCTTTAAATGTAAAGGGCATAGATACAGCGTGACCAGACACCAAAACAAAAAAATATGATATTCTGAAAATATGTGCTTTGGAAAGTAGAGGTAGGATAGAACTTGTCATTTAGATCAGACTTTTAAACGTTTGGTTTACAGCTTGTCTGTGAAGCTCACTTTTTTGATACTGTTTCCTTGTTCTTACAGGTCTTGAACTGTTTATGAATCAATTCCATCATGGCAGATAAAAAGCGATCCCACGGGAGCAGTTTAGAGTCACAATCTTTATCTCCAGACAGGACAAGGATTTGTAAGATCAGTGAGGCTTCTTCAGAACAAAATGAGCTGTCTAAAAAGCTGAGACTTAAGGAAAATAGCAGGTATGAAGGACATACATCTACCAGTAGTAAAAAGTTTAATAAGTCAAAGAAAATAAAAGGTAAACCAAAAAGTTCATCATCATCAGATTCACAAAGTCATTCATCATGCTCTTCCAGAAGCAGCAATCTGCCAAAGGAAAAGGAGAAGAAGAAGAAGCTTAAGAAATTAGAAAAGAAGAAGCGAATGAAAGAGAAAAAGTTAAAAAAGAAGCACAAGAAAGAAAAAAGGAGGCTTAAAAAGGCTGCAGCAGCAGCTATGACAAGTACAGAAAATGCAAAGGATGTGAAGCATAAAGTTTTTAGGGACAAGGAGCCTGAGGAACCTTCAGACCAGTTGTTGATGGACAGGGCTAAAGCTATGGCTCCAATGACCAAGGAAGAGTGGGAGAAGCGTCAGAGCGTGATTCGTAAAGTGTATGATGAAGAAACTGGTAGGCATCGGTAAGTATTGGTTTTAGTGACAATATGTAATAGTACAGAAGTAGTAGAAGAAATCAAATTATGAAGTTTGTTATGCAATATTCTACATTCTCATGTTACTTCTTTTTCCTAAAGTCCAAATATTATCTTTCCCAATTTGTTATGAACAACCCCAGTGTTTAATGACTGTAAATAAATCCAAAGTTAGTTATAGGTAATTTTTAAAAATCTAGTCATCCTTGAAAGTTTCAATTTTTGTCATTATTTGTCTTGCCATAATTTGATTTTGATTTGCTTTGCTTTGTTTGGTGTCACCCTGTTATATTGTGTCTTTACATTTCATAAACAGTTATGACAGTTCTTTAGTTTAAAATCAATAAGGTAGCATGTTTGACTAATGATACAAACACTGACAAAGAATAATGACTGTGACTCTGTATTTCAATAGGCTCATCAAGGGTGACGGAGAGATTTTGGAGGAGATTGTGAGTCGAGATCGGCACCGTGAAATTAACCGGCAAGCTACTCAGGGGGATGGTGCTTTTTTCCAATCCACAATAGCAGCCAAACTGAAAAAATAAGAATGATATATTGTGCAAAAATGAAAATAATATATTGTATTATATAGTAAAATGTGAATCTGATAATATGTTTCTGAGGATATGAAACAGATTATAAAATCAGGCTCTTCTCTTCTAAGTAGGAAGAAGGAGAGAAGACATCTTTGTGTACATAGGAGTCCTCAATCTAGTCAGTGTTTCTATCAAGTAGTTTACAATACCACTAATATTCCTTTTCCCAGCCTTTGAGTGCCGTATTTAATTTGCCATTCTGTCTGCATATTACGGTTCTCAGGTGAGAAATACATTCAACTCGTTAGGGCTGAGTGGTAATTATATGTATCACACTTTTACAATTATAAGATTTTTCTTAGAGTATATTTGTGGGTTTCACATAATTCTCATTGTTTTCCTAAATAAATTGATCTTCTTAATGCAGATGTTTTTTTGTTGAGGTAAGATAATTTTTAAATATTATTTAGATGAGACTGGCTTCAGAAGGTTAAGAGAGGGTTATGGGGCCCCAGTGGGTGTTCATAACACTGGTGTCACAACCAAGCATGCTACTTCTTCTGACACACACACACATATATATATATATTTTAAACCAAGATTATGGTAAGCAAGCATTTAGAAAGACCTTGGCAATCAAGCAATAAAAAGCAGAAGTTTCCCCTTTTTATTGTCAAGGCAGGAAAATATAAGACCAGGACGTCTAAAAGCTGTATGATATGTTACAATGTACTGAAGGCTACTAAGAGTTCAGACCTCTAATGCCTTACTTTATCACATAAGAGTGCAAAACATGTCATTTAATGGAGAAATATTGATCACCATTTCACAATGTAGTATACTAGTAACTACTCATAAGGTACATGAAAAGTAGACATAATGGGAGGGCAGTGCCAGCCTGCATATTTCATCTCTGAAACTATTCTACTCAAAATGTTTTGATTAAATTTGGTATCGGGGTATCTACAATTTAAGTTATAACACAAAGTTTGTCTGGATGGAATTTGTATAACCCCCATTTTACATTAATTCAATCATAATGTTCCTAGAAATGGCTCACTGATAATTATATAACAAAGGAGAAAGAAGGAAACCAGCATAAAAAAACAGATTCATTAAGGTGACTGACTTGTAGTCACCTGTATGCCATTCTTCAATAGAAGGAAACAATGTTTGACTATGCTCTGTCATCTGTATTGTGATCAGTTTTGCAATAAATGAACAAGGCCAATGAGTTATGGAAAATAGCAAGAGTGCATCCCTCCATTATCATTCAGTCATCAAATCTGATTACACTTTTAAATTTCTCCAAATACTGTTTTGTTTATAATACTACAAATAATCACTTCTGCTTTCAACTTTATTCAATGTTACATTATACCATAACATCTGCAATATGCAGAAACTTGGAATCTGGACCTCCCGAGTCATATTAAACATTCATAACTAAATAATTCTGATTATCTTTGTGTACAAAATATATAAAATTACCATCACAACTTATTGTGTTGCAATTACATATTTTCATAAAATACTTCAAAGCAAGTCTCCCGAGATGGACATAAATTGGACATTTGGCACTTGTTCCGGTTTATATGCAAAGGAAGGAGCTTAAGATAGGATTTTATTATGATCAGCACTTTTCTTAATCAAAATTTTTAACCAAATTTATGTTGGAAAGTTTTATTTTTATATTTTAGATATGTGAACTATCGGACACGAGATTTCAGTGTGTTTGCATCACGCACAACTCATTAGCACTTCTCACATGCCTTAGACAATAACAATTTCAGGAAATACAGGAAGCCATCAACATATGCCTGCCACATCATCATCAAGAGAAGAAACAGGAACCATCAATTCACTCCTGTATATTCCCTGAGATTGGATTCATGTTACCTGATCTAACTGAACCCAAAAATTAACCTCAAAATGATATCCCTGAGAAACTGAAGATATCCTACCCTTCTAACTGGTTATCCTCTCCAAACTGAGCAGGTTTTGGATAGGTACAGGAAGAAACAGAACATTTCAAACATAACACTTTGCAATCACAAGGCAAGCAAAACATACTTATATGGGTATCACTCATTTATCATCGGCACTATCAAATTGAGCTCTCCTGCTACCAGCAGCAGAACAATGGAATACCAAAACAAATTACAGCACACAAGACTAGGGCAAACAGAATATTGGGATGACTAATAAAGTGATGACAAGAAAATGCAACAGACCACATGGCCTAATGATAAAAATGGTAACACAAATCTGTATCACCTTGCTCAACTAAAATTCAGCAGATTTTGCCCCAAATGAGAAAGTACTTCATCAAGATTATGTGTATCTGTCATGCTTTTCCAATTTTATAAGAGGCTTATGACATCATCATGTCCATGTCACTCCCAACAACTACAGAACCAACTGTCTAATCACACCATCACAGATCACCCATTATCCACACTTTATAATTCAGTACCATAACACCAACATGGTGACCACGCATATCCCCGAGATGGGAGCAGCGTAAGTTCTGTTTAAAGTTTAAAATTTAGTTGTTATAAAATTTTAAATAATATATGCCTTCTGATAACATAATTTTTGTGATTAATATAAAATAAGAATATGGATACCACAAAAATATAAATTTAACTTTCTTTGATATCAATTATTGATGAACCTCTGTAGTTAGATGATAAATCATAAACATACCTACAAATTTTGTATGAAACACCTTTTTGAGAGTTAAAAATTATAAACATGGTGATGACAAACTTTGAGATTATGTCTTAATAAGTTTCAAGTAGAGAGAAAAAACTGATGGAAATTTTTTTAAAACTATTATCACTTCCACCAACATGTCTACATAGATTGAAGAATATAAAGGACATTAGGTACTGCAAGTTATTCCCAGAGTTTATGTTCCTTACCATGTAATTTTCCTTTAATAACATTCTTTTCCTTTACATAAATTACCTTTCTGTGTTAGAAAGTGTCTACAAATGACTCAAATATTTGTCTCTGATTTAATCTTATTTAACAGAAACAGAGTAGTGAAATTCAAAGTGTTCTAATTACTAGAGAATCAGTACTCTTATGAAAATGTATGCTATGATATACTTCAATCCATAATTCAAAACTATATTACTGTTGAATCACTTGTTGATATCACTCACAAGGTTGACGCAGTCGATCGTTACCGTCTGATTCAGCTTTAGTTTTGCAGCATGGCAGTGCACCTTCCTCTGACTTCTTGGTCAGAGTATTAAGTGTAGACACTCCACTTTTTCTTTAGAAAACAGTTTCATTTTGCCATACTGCAAAACCACAGCCAAATTAGAGGGCAACAGACTCAGTCCCATTGTCACATCAATTTTTTAGTACAGACTTTCTGTTTGTATACAGATCAGTCTCTTGCCAAACTCTCAATGACTAAGAGCTTATACCTCACATGGAACAGATTACAATTCAACTCACTGGGGTTAAGGAATAGGAAGATCATCAATAAAGCTGAATAATGTATGTTGTTGCACCATCTCTCCATGATGGATCATCAGCAACTACTGCCCTACACACAGGACATGTCTGTTCTCTGTCAAACCATGTGGCAACGCAGGTTTCACAGAATATGTGGCTACAGTGAAGGAGAACTGGATTTTTATAATCATCATAACAGATTGGACACTGGCTGCCTGCAGTTTGTAGCTGGTCTTTATTTGGGCTTATACCAAGATTCTGTAAGAGAAAGCACAACATTAGAAAATATTTAAAAGAATTTTAAACGGTTTAGATAATTAATCCCTAAGATTCAATATAAAGTACTCTGTTGTAGATTATGGTCTTCTGGTCTGTGACACCATACAAGTACGCACATAGGTAACACCATTTTGGAGGAACATATAACCTAACCTAAACACGGAGACGATACGTTACTCTGAAGCACTGGCAGCCACTTCCAACATCATACGCATCACGATCATGAAAACCGTGACCCACATTTCTGCCCCCAATATAATCTTATATCTTGGGTATTTTATCGTCTGCAAATTTCGGAGAGTTGGGTTTGTCAAATTTTTACCCCTGTGTATATGATCAAATTAGAGTCCTTATCAGCAATACATGCATCTATAACTTTTTTCAGCTCAGTAACCCACTGTATATTCCATGAAAAAAGTTGCTAAACATTCTGAACAGAAGGTAACCCTGTTCCAAAAGTCAAATTGTAAATTTTTTGTCACCTAAATATTCTGAATTTAATTTACAATAACCAAGAAGAAAGTTGCTGTAATTTACCTTTAAAGTAATTGATATTGCCATTTCTAGGATTAACTAAGGCATTAAGTATATGGGAATTTTGTTAACAATGTTTCAGTATGTGTGGTGTTGTACAACGTCTGAATTCAACATACCACACTCTGAAGCAACTTCCAAAATGCAACTCTCATGAGTTTTACTCTGTTCATGAGGTCACTTCCCTTGGATACCATATATGCCGCAGACAGGAATACTCCAACAACCTTCTCTGGTCCTTGGTAAGATTCCAGCAGAAAATACAGCCATGGCTGGATTGGGGCCAGGCTCCGGTAGAGCTGGGATGTGGCTTCTAAGAACAAGTACCATTTTCCCT